CTCCTGTATTATAGTCGCCACTTCATTCTGCCAAATAACTGGATAGATTACGTTCAACCTTTTGTCCTGCTTTGGTTAAATCCTATGCGAACTTGATGTGAGATGTAAACTAGCTGTTGGAATGTGTGGATGTCATGGCTTGAAGTGCGTTTTACAGTGTGGTGTCTATAAGTGGGTCCTAAACCATTGGAAAGTAGTTGTTCATTATCTATGATATTTCGCTGAGAAGAGTCGTGGACGTTTGCTCCATATAGTGCAGCTTGACAGATTGTTGATGACTGCTCTGAGACAAAAAAAGTTAAAACAGGAACAGAAAGCTTTTGCAACGCTGTTTTATTCCGAAATGCTGTCGAAAAAATGCTTGGTTTTTTTTCAGAAAAATGTTTTGCAAGTAATCTGGACAACTTTGAGATTGTCTGAGCCCCTTTGAATAATAATCTTAGAAGGCATCGAGCTGAAAACGTCTCACATGAACCCTAGATTTTGCAAAAAATCGTTGGAAGAATTATTCTTCCAATAAGCACATCCAGTTAACATGATAACAAGATATCAAATAAATAGTGACGGCGAAAACAAAAATAAGTGAAAAAACCGTCCAAATAATGATTTTTTGCGACTGTCCTGCGTATTCATCGCTTGATATTGCAGTTCACGGCAAATATCATTTTTGTTTTTTTGGCTGGTGAAAGTAAACGTATGGCAGATTGCATTCACTACAATAAGGTAACTCGTAGTGTTGCGAGAAGTCAGCTGTTGTTATTACTACCATCCATCTAATTACATCTACGGCGGATGGCGCAATGCAGGCAATGCGGTACTTGGAAAATAATGTTGTAGCAAAAAAAGTAAAGAAATGAAGAAGAAAAAACCAAATATAATTTATTCCAACTTTAGAATCCAAAACCAATGCTGAATGAAAATTTCTTTCAAAAAATAATAATTGAGAACAATTCTTCAGAAAACTTCTTTCTACTATAAACAACAACCCTACACTATGATACTGAAGAAATGCTTTAACATTATCTTCATAGACGAGGTAAGCAGTGGCGGGAAAAGATTTAAACGGATACACTGATTTGTATAAAATACATGCACATAGTAAATAAAAAGCAAAAAAAATTATAGTTGGCATTTGCATGATATCTGCTTTGCTCAAAGACACGGTTTTCAAAATGCATCCAAAAATAAGACAATGAACTTTGATGAGGCGAAAACTGACGTGAATAGGAGATAGTATATGTGTGACTGGAGATGTCCTGGCGTCTGTAGCTCACAGAAGTCCACA